AAGCACCTTCATCCCCCCCAAAGGCGGAGAGAGAGAGAGGGAGAGGAGGAGGAGAGACAGGGGGAGAGGAGAGCTGATGCCTAAGCGAGTCACTCGGAGGAGGCAAAGCGGGCGGTACCACAACTTCTCGGCGGCGCGGAGCGGCGCGGAGCAGCGCGGAGCGGAGCGGAGTCCGGCGGCCGCATCGCTCCCATGTCAGGGCGGCGGGGGGGGGACTGCACTCCGCCTGCCCCAAGCCACTGACCTCTCCTCCCTTCTCCTCGCCCAGCGATGTATTCACTGCTCTCAGCCTGCACTTGCCTGTAAGGATTATGGCATATTTTTTTGGTTGTTGTTATTAGTATTTTTATTTTTTTTCTATTTTTTTTTTAAGAACTTTTTATTTTGGAGGCTCTGGTTGCTTTTTTCCTTGCGATCAGGTGGTTTAAATGGGGATCTGAGCCTTTATATAAGCGGAGCATCGCTCTGCGCCCTTTAAAAAAAAAAAAAGAAATTGCAAACAAAAACAAAGCAAAAAAAAAAAAATCAACTTTAACCATTTTACCGCATCATTTGATCTTGTGTTGCCTTTTTTTTTTCTCCTCTCCAGATGTTTACATTTCCTGCTGCTGTGCTTTCAGGTACAGGTACGTGTCCTTTCTGTCCTCTTTCGCTTTTGGTTGTAAAATAGAAACAAAGGCGGCATGCTGACCTCGGAGTGCCAGGCAGTTTTGGCTAGGGCTTTCACTTTATTTTTTTTTTTCCTTTCTTCCCCCCCCTTCTAGTTTTTATAGCCGTATTAAACCGATCCCTGCGCCAGATGCTGGCGTGTCACTGGCCCTGGGATGGGGCTGCCCTGCTCGCTAAGCTCCTTCTCGGTGCCCGCTTGCGCCGAGGCACCGCTGGCCGCCCGCTGCGGGCTTGGGTGCGCCGGTAGCCGGCTGTAGCGGGATCCTCTGGAGTGCATTAGCCTGGCTAATGATGTGAGAGGGAGTGCTGGACTCTCCTCCTTGCACAACGTTGATTGATGCACTTGCCTTGGAAGAGCAGGCGCTCTCCTGCTCGCCCGATTTCCCCCCGCCGCCACCACTCCTAGGGAACTCGCTCCCAAAAACTGATACTTTGAAAAACACGAGTTTCCCTCGCCAGGAGAAAGGAGGCTGCGTGCTCCCTCCCCATTATTCAGTAGAAAGCCGTCCAAGTCAGATCCTGCCTTTGATCCTGCCTCGGCAGGAATGAAGCCGTTGGAGGAACACCCTGAGCGGGGAAGCTCTGCAGCCCAGGCGCCCGCGGGACCGGGGGGGTCGGGGTGGCCGCTGGC